GGGAGGAGCTGCAGGTGGACGCCAAGACTAATTCGCATCTGCTCAGCAACCTGTGGTGCGGCACACGCTACCAGCTCTACATAACGGCGTACAACAAGATAGGCACTGGACTGCCCTGCGACATCGTCAACTCCTACACCAAGGGCAACTCGCCCGTTCAGCCCAAGCACTCGCAGATGATTACCAACAACTCGACGAGCGTCACCTGCTGGCTGGACTCCTGGGGGGATGGCGGCTGCGGCATACTCTACTTCATGATTGAGTCCAGGGTGTATGGCCGCTCCACTTGGAACGTCGTCTCCAATCACATACCACCCACCGAGCGCATTTACACAGTCAGCGATCTGGTGCCCGGCACCAAATACCAGCTCAAGGTGACAGCACACAACAACGCAGGCTCCACGACGGCGGTTTACAACTTTACGACGCTCTCTCCACAAGGCGGTAAGTGAGGGGGTGAGCCCGTTGGAGTGACTGACTCAACTGACTGAACTCTCGTCTCTCCTCTAGTACTCTACAACAATGATCATTCTACGCCCATCTCGCATCTGAGCGATCTGCCCTTCTATGCGAATTTCAAGCTGCTGCTGCCCATTTGTGTGTCGCTGCTAATGCTGCTAGCGCTCATTGCTGCTGCCCTGTTCCTGCGCAAGCGAAGTGAGTCAAATATCTTGGGTGTCTTTCTCATTTAGTCTAAATGGCTCACTCCATTGTAGAGCTCAGCAACCAGGCGCGCCTGGCCAGCTCCTCCATGTCGGAGTCGCCCTCGTTGGCCAATCTGCAGAACAAACAGAATCGCGATCAACAATATTTGGCCGTGCGCTGCAATCCCTCGAACTCGGCTCCGCGTGGCTCCAATTCCAACGATTCGGGCAGCTTTGGCAAGGCCGAGGGCAATGAGTACATCGAGGATATATGTCCCTATGCCACATTCCAATTGAACAAGCAGACGTACAGCGAGAGCTCCTACAGCGGCAATGTCTACAGCGGTCCGTATCACTCGGTGCGCGGCTCCTTTGTCTATCACGATGTCAAGCCAGAGAGCTATCATGTAAGTTGGGTTGGACATATAAAAGATATGGCATTAATACCTTCTCTATCTTCCTCTCTCATTATCTCTCTCTACCTCTCTATCTCTCTACCTATCGCTATCTATCTTTATTTCACGCGCTCTCTCATTCCCTCCTCTTTTCGCTCTGCCTCCCACAGTCCAAGGAGCCGGAGTATACAAAGGTGCGCCGAAAAGTGGGCCGCCTACGCGATCCACACTCAGAGAGCCAAGGTATATACAGTTATAACAGATCTAAGTATATCATTAGTGTTATCCTTTCCATTTGAGTTGCCTAATAAAAATGTAGCCTTAAGCAAAATTTGCTCATTATTTTTATGTCATATCATGTTGCATCTGAGTCCTTTATGATTTCTATTAGTCGAATGGTTTTCTGATTTCTATATATCACATATGAATATATGTTTTATTCACGCTCTAATCGACTTCAATACTAACATACACATTCGAACACTTCATTCGCCAAAAACAAACATCGCATTGTATTAAACTTTTTAGAATCGGACAATCCAGGTTCAACAGATTCCGAAGTTAGGAAAATCCTAACGCTTCACATACCAATTACAGAATATGACACACTCGGCTCCGAGTCCGACAATGATGTGTCCGCACGCGCTCTTAACTCGGCCAAATATCGCGCCCAACGCGGTAAGCCATCGACAGTCAAATATTGCGCATACGCCGCGTGCAACAGTTCTCTCATTTTATCCTGCAGACACACAAGATGAGACATCCTCCTCGTCGGAGACCACGCCCACCAGCATGACCCGCAAATCGAAGCCGCCATTTGCCGCTCGCAAGTCGAGCAAGCCGGGCACCAGCGGCAAGCGCCATGTGCGCAGTTCCAGCGGCTACTCGAGCCACAATGAAGAGACTACCTTTAGGTAAGCAGAGACGCAACGCTGAACAATTGAATGATATGTTCCTGCTATATGCATAATTAGAACCCTGTACGTTTAGCATATCCAATTATCCACCAAACTATCAGGACCACATAAATCCACCGGCCCGTTTCTCGGATGCCAACGACAAGGCGAAGACACAGACGTCGCCACGAATGCGTGCCAATCAGAAGCTACAGCGTGAAGCTTTCCAAATCAATGTCTAAAGACACAAAAACTACATGAAAAAAATACATTTTTAAATTAAACAAATATTGAAGAAAAGCGTGTTAAAAGGAAAATATAAAAAGTTAATTGAAAATTGTAAAATTTGAAATTTAAAAAAATTCCAAAAAAAAAGCCAAAAACAAAAAATATGGTCATAATGCCATATCGAAGAATGCAACTAAATTTGTTGTAAGATCTAACCAAGGGAATACCCCTATAAAAGAAGCTGAAGCAAAGTTTCCACTAAAGCACAAAACTGTTGTAAAATCTTAAAACAAAAATATTATATCATAATGGCAAACAAATATTTGTTATGTAAAATCTAAACCAGAAACTAAATACGGCAAATCCTTCCTATATAAGGCGACATCAGTTGTAAAATCCAAAATATGATAACAATCCTTATAGACTTGGCTAACACAAACACTCCACTTCAAAAACTAACTGGCATTTCTTTAACAATTTATAAATTGTTAAAATTAAAAGTAAATAAAAAAACTGCATACTAATTAAAGAATAAATATTGAAAGAAGTAACAAAAAACCAAATTTAAAAATATATAAGTGTAACTATTTACAAAAAAAAAAAACAAATATGAAATAATAAATAGAAAATAAAAACTTTTCGAGAATTTTTGTTTTTTTCAACAAATATTTAATTTGAAATACTTAAAAAAAAAATAAGAATAAAATATATAAACCATAAGACTTATTTACACACTGATTATGCTTAGTTCAACTTGAAAAGCTGCATAAAAATAATAAACAAACAAATTTATACTATAAATGGAATAAATGTTAAAAAAAAAATGAAGCATTTAATGTGTATTAAATAATTCCAAAAAAATATTTATATTATTAATGCAATAAATGTTAAAAAAATAATTTAAGCATTTAATGTGTATTAAAAACATATAAAGAGAAAACTGCGGCAGGCCGTATTTAAAATGTTTTGCATAGATAAGAAAACTACCAAGAGGTAGAGTAATTAAAGGCAGAGCATTAAAGTAACGGAATATGAATGACAACTACATATAGAACATGCATAAAATACACACACACAAATCCAAACACACACACATACATATATATGTAGTAGATTAAAAAGTTTATGTTGAATTGTTTGAGTTCTTTGAGCCCAGAAAAGGAAAGAAAATGTTAGCTAGTTATTAAAATTAATTTAAAAATTTAAAGATGAAGAAAACACACAAAACTGTTGTACATAGCTAAGCATTACAGTACTTAATTATACAAATCATATATATATTTATATATATATATAAATTTAGTGGAATATTTAGTAGCCAAAGTCGTAAGCCAGCATGCATTTTCATTAACAAACAGCAGAAGATCCCGCAACTTTAGCAGCTCAAGATAAAAGATAACGAAATATATATAGCGCCGATTCCTGTTTGCCAAAATTCTAGACCATATAGCTTTCACACACCTGTACACCAGTACACTAGTACACCTGTACTATATAAAGGCAACTCTGATTCTATTTTACAATAGCCAAAAATCGAGCAAAAACCAACCAATTTACATGACAATATGATCACAGCAACCAGGCATACATTATATAGCATAACATTTAAAACACACAACGTTGTAGTTCACAAGAAATTATTAAATATAAACAAACAAAACTCACATCTCTAGTCATATTAACTATTAACTTAACTAAACAATCTCTAAATGGAATTACACCTTTTTGGCAATGCAAAACTTTTTCAGACTGCACCGATTTAGGCATTTCAAAGTTTTTGGAAATAATTAAAAAAATATATAAAATATATATACTTGGTTGTATAAATTTGAAGAAAACAAAATGAGAAAAAATTGTAAAATTCACAATGCAAAAGTATCTATAACAAAAGATTTTCAAAGCGAAAGAAACATAAGAGAAGCACACTTAATGAACATTTGTTAATGTGCTAATTCCATTAAATGTGGTCTAAATACATGACATGACATAATGATAAAGATATAATCAAATGGACTTTTACTTAAGGGCTTAACGGCCAACAAGGGAGTCACAGCAAGCGAGGGCCAAACGTGGCAGAGGGATAGATAGCCCCAAGCTCAGAGCAGCTTGTGTTTACACTCCACTTGCTTCCTCCACATTTAAACAATTATGAACATTTTTTACAGCTTATTAAAATAGAAAGAAACGTTTACTTTGCTGCAGTGCACAAGTTTCCAGAAATAACAATAGTTCGCATTTATTTACATTCGACATAGTTTGATTTGGTTTGATTTAAAAAAAACACAAAAGGGGCTATAGATTCAGGCATATTGAACCGATGTAATAAAAACGACACAAACACATTCAAAATTCTTTGCAATTGTTGCACTTAAAGCGTTTTCTTAGTTAAGACAATTTCTGTTGCATTCAGGCAACGATCATAGCAATTCCAAACAGCTGAGCTATGGACAGCTGTGCAATGATTGTGTTTCCTTTTCACTTTTAAAAATGTTAAATTTAGTTGTTGCTTACCAATAACTTAATAACTAAACAGCGTTTGGCTTTACAAAATGAACAAGCTAACATTTGACTTAAAGCACATTTACAATTTTTGGGTTAGCAAAAGGGACTCCTGGGGCGGGGAGGTTAGAGCTCTGCGCTCACAGTGGCTAGAAAAAGCTACAATTTACGGTTAAAGGCGTGTATAAAAAACGTTTTAAGAGTGTAGCCACTTTGTAAGTTCAACGGCTGCTTAAACGCTAAACTTTAAACTAAATTAGAAACATTATACGTTAAACATTATTCCAGTTTTTTTTTTGGATTTTCTATTATTTTTGTTTTGATTGGTTTTGATTGCTTTGTTACGTATGGCAAATATCAGAACATAATCGGCTTATCCTTGCACTGGTCTATCACATAGCCGGTAAAACGTTTAAGAAACTTGGGATATTCACGCTTATAGACAGCGCGCAGGGCGCTCGCTGGAGCCCAGCCACCGGGATTAACTGAGGGAATAATATACATGTAAATTAATATATTATATATATAGATATACAGCAAACGAAATACGCACCCACGGAACAGTAGGTTACTTTGCAGGTTAAGTCATCACGATTCAGTGGCTGTCCCTTGACATAATCATCGGGCAGATGTGTTTGGCAGGCGAGTATGACCGTCAGAAAGATGCGAACGCATTTGCCGTTCTTCGACTAGCAAATATATACAATATTAAATGTTATCATTACAGACAGAGACAGACAAGGAAGGAGACCCACCTCCTGTTTGGCATACTCCGTTGAGTTGTTGCACACCACCCACATGTCGCGTGTGCCCGGCTCGAGGCCATCGGTGATTTTGCGCATATGCGACCAGAATTGTGCATCGCGCTGGCTGGCTGGCCAAATGCGCTTGTGTGTCTGCAAAAAGAGCAATGTGTCCGCTGAGATTTTCTCCAATATGGTGCAGTCCTCCAGTGTAGCTGCAAATATATATATATATATATATCTATAGATAGAGCTTGTTTATATATAAGTGCTTTACTCACTCTCCCAGTCGTTGCGGAACTCGGGCATAAAGAAATAATGGCACATTTCGCGCGCTGTCACGCCCTTGACTGAGTGATAGGCTTTTAGCGGATCCATAACCATGCCATTGACTTCCTCCTCGCGCTTGTACATTTTGATTTCCCCTTCGTCGGCAAAGATTTGCCAGCCATTGCCATCCTGGCCGACGCCCTCGCGCGCATAGTGCAGCTGCTCCTTGCACACGCGATCAATCTATATAAATCCAATTAACGAATCGTTTTCATTCGTCACTAATTTCCGGCTTACCTCCGGCCAGAGTGCATGGGACTTGGCCTCGGCCCCGGTGCCGAACTCCTCGCGCGCCTCCTCACCCTCCGCCACGGCCTCGTGCGGCACATTGACCAGCGTCTGTGAGATTTGCGACTGGAGTCTCAGTTTAAAGCGCATCTGCATGTCCTCCTCGATTTTCTCCAAGCCCGTCTCTACGGCGTCGAAGAACTCATCCTCTGGCAATGTGGAATGTGGACCCTCCTGCCAAGTAAATAGTTCAGCATGATTATATACATATTACTAAGTCAAGTTCAGCAAAGGGGTACGGCTCTAATTAATTGAATGCAAGAAATGCGAAACGTGACGGGCATGAATTAAGCGAAGTCTCCCAGAAAGTCCCCAACGGGCGACAGTGCCGCCGGCATGCGTAATTGCTTGAGCATAATAGATGCCCATAACATATGCATAAGGCAGGCGGCCCGACATACCCCAGGCCCCATGTGCCATGCATACTAAAGGGGCGCCGTCTGGAGAGCCAAGCAAATTCTATGGCTGGCGCGTGCATGACTATTCGAAGATTGGAAATATTTTAGCTAAATTTAATTGTATTCAATTATTTTGCGCATAAGCAGCTGCGGGCGAAAGCAAGCGAATTCTAGATAGAGAAGGGCGCGTGTCTACGTTGATGCAAAAGAAGCACGATTCATGCACGAAAGACAGTGTGAAGAGCTGGCTTAGGAAAACACGAAACGAGCACGAGCTATGAATGCAGACGAACTAGAGATGATCGCATGATGAGCTTAAGAAAAGAGACACGAAACGAACACGAGCACGAAATACAGTGGCTAGACAAGCAAAGCAAAACTGAATCAGAGATGAGCGATAGTTAAATTTATAAATAGACACACGAAACGAAATCACGCACGAGCTGTGGGCGCGTGTATCATTTATAGAACAGCGAACAGTGGGCAAAACAAGCTAAAAATATATTAACTAGAGATGAGACACCGCAGGTACGACACAACACGCTGGATAAGTGGAGGCACGAGCAATAGAACGCGATAGGCCAATCGTAAGACTAAATGAGAGTAACGTACACAGTCCAACACGAAACACATGTGGAAAGCAAGTGATTATAACAAGATCAGGTTTGTTTCACTTACAACGGACGCGACAATCAGTATTAATAGACACGTAAGTAAAATGTGGTCATGACTTATAGAAGGAAAGAGACTTCAGAAATAAACACGAAATGAATACGAAATACACCAAGAAATTTGAATTTTTAAACTAATAGAGACGGGAATTTTTTTAAATGTCGACGAAATACTAGAAATTAACAGATATGGAAGTTAAATCGGGGCACTGGTTACTAGATGACTGTTAAAACACGAAGCGTTCGTGTCACGAGTGTCAAACACGCCATTAATGCAGTCAACATTGAACTTGCGATTGCTGCTCAATTTAGGCCAAGTTTTTTGGGTGATGAAGTCATGAAGGCGGCGTCCACTTGTCTGAGCAACTGGCAATGGGAATTTGGGAATTTGGCGCTCACCAGGCTCTACTTGGCGTCCGCTTAACGACTAAATGCTGATAGCAACAAATTTTATTCACACACCACACACACACACACACACACACATGCAGAACAGCCAAGCTGAGGGGTGGGTTGGGGTGCGAGTGTGTGTGCGAGCTTCAGAGGTCATCAACAAGCCACGCGCACTCCAACCGAATCCTTCCGACTGGCGCGAGGGCGCAAAACAAACTGTTGCTCAGCACCAACAAAACACATCCTGCTAGCTGCGAGAGAGAGTCGGCGAGAGAGCGAAAGCTTAAAGCTTCACGCATAAAGGATTACACGCGCTTAAATAATAAATCAATGTTTGAACGATTTGCTTGATTTAATATGAGATTAACTTACTCTCTCTCTCACTCTCTCTCCCTCTCTCTCACTCATTGTCACTCTACCTACATTAACCTACCACAATTTGTTGGCCATGCTGCAGCTTATAGCCGCAACGCCATTGAAAGCGCATCGAAGGCATTTCTTAGTCCCGCTTTTTTTGGCCAAGTTTCGAATTGGTTTATTGAGGCCAACAATTTCACAATTGTCCAAAAAATACACTCGACAAACAGAGCTTGTCAATTTGTTTATGATTTGTACGTGTGCGCAAGCCGATCGCTGACCGTCGACTGACCAATTCGCGCTGTAAATCGCTGGGCCAAGCCCAAGCTATGCATTAAAGCCAGGCTAACAGAAGAGCTGAGTTGGCTTAGCGCAGAGCGAACTGGTAATGCGCTAACCAAACAAAAATGGCCGATGTTAAGTTAAGTGTATTTACAGACTTGGATTCAGATAAGCTTTTATATTAAAAAATAATATATTTAATTTTGAAACAGAAAGATTTGAAGAGAAAAATATATTAGTTATTTAAAAAAATATTAAACATTATTAAATAAAAATATTAAAAAAAAAAAATAAAATAAAAAAAAATATTAAAAGTGATGTCCAATATATATAACACAAATATAAAATATTGGTAAAAAATAAAAAATATATATTATATTAAAAAAATATATATATATTTCAACTAATAAAAATATATTATAAATAAATTTAAAAAAATAAGTATAATAAATCCAAAATAATATAAAAAATATATTTAAATAAAAGAATAAAAACAAACTTAAAAAAGAATATATGTATACAAATAAAATTTTCTATTCGAAATCAGCTGAGCTACAAACTCCTTGAGCTAGCTAAACAATCAAACTTAAAGGTAGAGCATGAGCTAAATAGACTCTTGCAACAGCCAACATGACCTACTGCAATATTGGCTACAAGTACTACGCAACCTCAAAACTGTCTTAGCGTTAACATCAAATGTCGCCATGTGTTCAATATTTTGCGCTGGAGCTGTCAGCGAAGTGAATGAACTGGGAATTACTAACATATATACATAAAGCCATGCACAGATCTAATAAGCCTGCCCAGTATGGAAAGAAGCCAAACAAATTAAGCATTAAAGTTGGCATATAGGAAGTGCCATAGCCAAACGGCGTAGAGCCCTCTTAGATCCAATGCGACTGATAAGAGTTAAAAATAGTTAAATGCTAAGGCCCTCATTAAAGGCCTGCTGATGTAAACACAGCCGAACAAGCGACAGGTCAATTAAAACGGATAACGATCATGAAACATGACACGGAATCAGAGCACAAACAAACTCACCCACAATTATATATTAATGCATAAGGAGCAATATTATTTGGTTTAGATTATATATAGTTATAGTTACGAAACAGGCAAATTGTTTAAATAATAGCACGGTGTGTGCGTATGCTCAAATTGTAGTACAATCAACAAACAGCAAGCACACAAGAGTTTTATTTTTGGACAGAGCTTATGGTTGCTCTTGAATGTGTGCGGGTGTGGGGGTGTCGCAAGGGCGTCGGACGTATCAGCATTGTTTATACTTTATATTTACAATACTCATTTGGTTTTGTTTCATGTGAAAACCAAACGTGAATTGTGAAACTTACCTCAAAGTCTGGGCCGGGATACGATAAACGTTTTAGCTTCTCAATTTCCTCCTTGAACTTTCTGCAAATATCAAAAGTAAACTAATTTAGCTTAGTTTTCTCCAGCAATATATGGAGTCCAAGGTTAGGCCTACCTATTTTGCTCGTCCGAGCGACGTCGTTTATCTATTTCGCGCTCCAGTTTACGTTTCCATGATTCATCATTCTCAGCTATAATTTCCAGGCAATGCTGCAATGTGCTCAGCACTCCAGATGTTGTAGCACGAAATGTAATGGACTCGCCCTGCCGGCAAGCAACATGTATATATAGATATTATTATACAGAAGTTCGGGAGAATTCATATGCGCGCACCTTGAAATCGATGGGCTTTAAGCCGTCGCCCAAGTCGAGTGGTTGTGCATTGGCTTTGTTCAGCTCGGAGCAGGCGTCAAAGTAACGCTGCAGCGTCTCAATTTGCACAAAGAGTATATCCTTGAAGGTCTCCAGTTCGCCAACCTTTTCACGCAGATTGCGTTGAGTCTTTTTCAGGCTGCCGCCGCTGGCCAATGAAATGGTGTTGGACTGCAGGGACATGCTGCTGCCGTGTCGACGCAACGATGTAGTATCCGTGCTGCCGGTGCCCTCCTTATACAGCTGCAGCACCTCCACCCAATGCATGCGATCCTCGCTCGTCTCGGCACGCAGGCACCAATTGTTCAGATTATTGACAACCACATCGAAGCGCAGCTCATCCGACTCGTGTGCCTGCAAACAAAATTGATGAATCATTGTTTACAATATAAATAGACTAAGTATAGGCTGGCAATCAACGCCCTCCAAAAAGCAATTGCCATAAACTTAAGTAGTGAAGGATGGGGCGGCCGAGGGTTGGCCAGTGCAGAGCTGGGCAGGGCATTTGATGACTTCAGTGTGGCTTTATTTTTTGTCACTTATTCACCACCATTCGTTGCCGACATTCAACATTAATTGATTGCGCTGCATTGATTGCGGCGTCGGGGGTTCTTGGATATGCGCACGCTCGCTCGCACCCATTACTTTTTGATTAGTTCAATTAAGAGCACTTGCTGACTAAATATATATGCATATATATATATATATTTATAGAATAAATACGTACCTTAATGGTCGCCTTGGACAAGCTAATGGCGCCGCGGCAACCAAAGTCCGACTCCGATTCGGATTTGTAGTAGGAGAGCGTGCCATCCTTGAGCACAATATAGCGTGGCTGCCAACCGTATATATAATTGGTCCACTTGCTTAAGTAGCCACGCAGCTCGATGCTGTTATCCAAATATTCCTCCTCCTCGGATGAGTCGCTCTGTGAACCAGTTGCAGGTGCGGTTGGAGCTGCCAGTGCATCTGCTATGGGCTGCTGCGTCGTCCTATTGTCCAGCTCGTCCATGCCAGCAATGTGTGTTGTGTTTTACCTGTAACGAAAACTTGCTGAGTGAGCAGGGGGCTAGATAGATTACGGTATATATTATATACCGCCACGTCCGCGTGATATAAACAAAAAACAACAACAATATCAGTAACAATAACAACAACAACAACAACAATAATAATGGCAGCATTAACACCGGCCGCTTTCGCTCGGCAATCATCTGTCGCTGCGAGGTCGTGATAATGCCTCAATACAATCATTATCAAACAATGGCCTGACGACTCTGACTCAGTCGCAACTTTGTTGTTGATATTATTCTAATTGGCGTTTGGCCGGGTTTGGCATTGGCGTTGGCGTTGGCGTTGTTGCTGTTCTGCGTGCTGACGTTGTCTTTGGCGAGAGTGCGGGGAGGGTTGGACAACGGTTAGTGAACCTACCTGCAACAAGCGTTCTACTGTTTGCTATCGCTTTGCTCACACATTTGTGCGACACGCAATTCCGCTGGCGTTTTTATGTTTGAGCAAACTTTGTAAATAACTGAATCAAAAAAAGCACCTCCAAGTCCGCAAGCGTGATAAACCAAGCAATCAGCTGTGCGCCTGTTATCGATATGATGGCAACGATACTATCGCAAGCTCATCGTAAAAGCGCAACAGTGCTGCAAAGCGCTTCAAAGTTGGGGCGCCAAAATGAAATCGATTAAATTTAAGTTTAACAGAAGTTTTTATTAGTACTTTAGGTACTTCGCTTTGGCATTGACTGCAATATCGATACGTCTACGCTTGCACGTCAACTTGATTGACATATATATAGATATGTGCAAATGCGTATCATATTTGGCAAAGCGTATGCCGCAGCAAGTGCTTGTTCCGGTCGTCCAAATCAGTGTGAACCGAACGTTTTGAGCTGCGGATACCTTTATATAGTATGAGCGATCATAAGATTGCAAAGAGCGATGCCTCTGCCAGTGAGCGAAGTTCGCCCACGTTACTGCCCGAGGGTTATTCCCATTTTCAAGAGGGCATCAAATGGGTATCGGACCTAATGGAAATCGAGGATTGCGATGCGGATTGGCTGCTGGATGCCGAGTTCATCTGCAAGCGGATCAGCGAGATTATGTGCAAAAAGGATTGGATATATAAGTTTGTGCTGGAGCACCTGTTATCCACGGCCACCTTCTACAGGGGCTCCAAAATTGACGTGCCGCTGGACTTTGAGCAATATTTGCGCTTCTACATGCCTTTCCCCGTGACACCGATCTTCAATGCCGCTCAGCCGGGCTATATTAATCTGTATGCACCCACCACTCATCCTATGATTACCAAAGGCTATGTGAACCCGGAGAACGTGCAGCTGCTGTTGCGTGGCAATCTGCGCGATGCCATCAATCAGATCAAGGGCATCTACTGCGACAGTGGCGTCCACTACAAGCTCACCTATCGCACACACGAGATCGGGGATCAGGGCTTCGTGCATGAGATATTGGCGTGCGAGAAACGTGAATCCGGCATGCCGAGCATCATATCCTTTGTCTTCCTGCCGGCCCTGCAGTTCAAGTTCGCCGACTTCCCCTTGCCGACGTTTGTGCCCGCGGGTCCCGCCTGGGCGCACTGCAACAACGTCTACTATTGGCTGGCCCTGCTGCAGGTCTATCCGCAGTACGACCATCGCAGCTTCTGCCCCTATGTGCCGCGCATGCAGTTCATACAGGACGAGCGCATGCTCAAGTATCGCAACGTCCTGCGGCTGCTGGTCAAGATCGGCATTGGCAATAATATACCCGATATATCGGATATATTTGTGCTGAAAGGTCTGCACTTTTTTCGCCTGCGCTACAGCATGAGCTGCGACTGCAATCTGTCGTTGGCTACTCTCTTTATGGAGGTGAGTGTGAATTGCCTGCATACCCTGTAAAAGTTGTAGGTGCGCGAGAGGTATATAGGAACTATTTACTATATGGATTAGGGCATCGAATGCTAGCCTGCTTTGTGGGTGTAATAGGGTGTGTATACCCTATAATTTTGGCCTGATTGTCAAGAGCAATCTCGTTTATGTCATGTCTAATAAAGGAAGCTCTGTGGTTATATACCCTGTGAAAGGTAGTAGTTGACAAACATTCAGAAGCCTCTTTAGTTTATAGGGTATATATGTAACGAAGCAAGTCGTTAAGCATTTGGCTCCACTGTTCGTTTTATTCAAAGCCCACTTGGCTTACCTCAGCCTAGCAGCTACCAACAGACAAAACTCTCGAAGCTCTCTTCCTCCTGGAGCAGCTCTGACTCCTCTCAAGCAGCTAATAAGACTCACCTTTAATGCATAGCTCTGCTGCTTTCAGCTGCTCAACATACACACACAGATCATCTACAATGATGCCGTGCAGAAGGTGCTCATCTTTGGCGGCTGCCAGCAGCACTGCATGCAGGAGGCGCTCAAGCTGGATGCGATAGCGCGCAACGTTTCGATGTTCTACTATATGAACTATATACACTTGGAGCATCTGAAGCAAATGTTTGGACTGATATGAAAAGGGCATTGGATTACAAATTCTTAGCGCACACACAGGCACACAGCCAAACAGATCGTAAGACTAGCAGTGAGCTCACATTACGTATACGCAATGTAAACAATTGATACGAGATTTGTTTGTATACAAAGATATAGAACTATATATGTCTATATATATATATAGCGGGACAATTGCACAAACACATTTGTCAGCTGGAATTTTGTGCATATAAATATATATATATATATGTATATATATATATATATAAATCGTTTCTATTTCAATATTGCACTCGGCGCAGTTTTTATGCGTAAATATGCCACAAATTTGTTTATTTACAGGGTATATATAAAACTAGCTAGAAAGTTAACAACAACGCCTACAGCTAACAATAAATAGTTAAATACACAAATTAATCATTACATATATATAAATAATAATAATAAATAAATTAGAATATGTTAATTACAAGCAAATGACTTTCAATGTGCACTCATTATTCGGCAGGCGCCGCTTACAACTAGTAGAAGAGCTGCTGCTGCTGCTGCTGCAGCGACTTTCACATAAAAACTGCATTGCCATCGAGTTGCTGCTGCTGCTGCTGCTGCTCATCCTGCTCAACGCTGTTGGGCAGCAGCACTGCCTGCTGCTCATGGTATTCACCCAGAGGTCGCTCTGTTGTGGTTGTCGTTGTTGCTGTTGTCGGTCGTGTTGCTTGGGCGCTGTACTTGTTGGCCAGCGCTTTGAAGATGCTCTTGGGGCAGGCCTTGTAGTAGGGAAAACATTCGCCGGGCGCCGCTTTGCCCTCGCCCACACGCTGGGCGCGCACGTATTCGGGCAGCAGCTCGGCAAAGGGCGATTTGGTTACACTAGAATAAAGAAAGGAAAGAGCTTAATGTGGCTGTGGCAGGGTAAGCGAGGGCAGCTTGTTAAGTATATGAAACTCTTCATGCTTGTTTGGTGACTCTAAAACTGTGCTGTTGCCCTCAAACTGTGCTAGCTCTGCGCTCAGAAATCAGCAGAGCCCTGGCTCTAGTTGGCGTGAGTGGGACTCAAGGTAAGCAAAGCTGGTAACTGGTTGATTTAAATGCTAGACAATGACTCTAAAACTGTAGAGATTAATTAATGAAGATCTTTGTGATTTGGGAAGCAATCTGCTTGGACGAACCAACAATTTGCAGAAGACTCAAACACACTTGTAGATCTGACTAAATGCTTGCCAAACCTGAAAGCAGTGGCTGTCAAACTGTAAGTAGGAAGTATGCATTAGTGTGATTTAAAAGTAATTGTTTCAGAATAGTCATATGCCTTGAGTTTACAATAGATTTTAATGCATAGCAAATTCCCTTCACACCAATTGCTGTCAAACTGTAACGTGTTACCTATGGCTTGCCTTCCATTATCAAATTTCTCTCTGCTTTTGACTACTTACGTTAAGAACAATTTGGTCATCTCGCCGAAGACACCAAACTTATCGAGGCTGCGCGAGTGCATCTCGCAAATGGTGCGCAGCAGACAGGCCTTGCCATCCATGCCGAAGGTGGCCAGGAAGTCCTCGACGACGCCATAGAGCAGGACACGTTCGCCGCCATGAAAGATGTGCTGGAAGCCAGCGGGCAGCTGTGGAAACTGCAGCGTGTCTTCCACTTTAAAGGGCTGGCTGCTCTGCTGCTGGCTGAGGTCGCGCTTGCGTCGCTGCACGTGCAGATAGCGAGCGACATATTCGCCCACCAGCTGGCCAGCGCCGTGGCCGAAGGAGCGGGCGAAGAAGGGCAGGTCTCCCAAAGGATTTTGGTTGTCCGTCAGGCCGAGCTTGTCAAAGTCAACTGAAAGTGTTTGTCGACTCATTTGAAGAGCTGCTCGATGAACAACTTTTACAACTCACTTGTGACGGGAAAACTGATGCTCAGGTTGGAGAAGAAGCCTTCAGGCGGATGTCGCACCATTGGCATGGCGATCGTTGGCGTAAATGTCAACGAAGTGCCGGGCGGCAGAGCCAAACGTCCATCGTCCGTAATCCAAATGAGTCGCTTCTTGCGTATGTGTGCCTCACTCGCGTCCGAATCCATTTGTGGCTCGGCCTCAGCATCCGCTAGCTGAGCGGCGGCCGTCGCTGCTGCGTCGCTCTTCAGCTCATGCATTTCTGCAGCTGTCCAGAGGCCGATTAGCAGCAGTAATAGCAGCTGCTCCGACTGCAAATGCCGATCCACACGCATGCTGCGTAATCATGGGAATAGATGGAGAGAAAGAAAACGAAAGATTTAGACAACGAACTGGCGTGGCTTGGCAAACGCAGGCTCGACGCAAGACTTAGACAACAAACTCGCCTCGCTTAGCAGCCATATGAATATGATCTAACTGTTATATAACCGCAGAAAAAATAGCATCAAACATTCTCTTCAGAGCTAAATCGCGCAGCAACCAGCAAACAGCAAACAGCAAACAGCAAACAGCAAACAGCAACAATTGGCAACTGGTTTGCCTGATTGCCTGTCGAAGAGACCCAGCGACACATAAATCTAGTTTTTCTTTGTGTTTTTGGGAAAGCTGAAAAGTCGAGCTCTTCTGGCCAGCATTTAAGCACCGTTAACAACTGATTCTGATTACAAGCGAAGCTGTTGAGCCTTTGCCACAAATATGAATTCTATTTCTCGCCCCGCACGCCTGGGATGCCAGCTTCAACTGCGCTTAGCTCCTACTCACTAGTTTGATAATGTTTTTAATCGATCACATTGAAGCAGCAAAAGTTATCGATTATATGAAACAACTTGATAAAGATGATGAAAGAGGCGCCTACTGTGAAGTCCCTAGCTCTTAGAGATCCCGAGTTAAGAGAGATGAATAGTCAGACCTACAGAGCAGGATCGAGATATGTTATCTGGGCTGTGCCACGCCTATAGCTGCCTGCCACACAGATTTGTGATCGCTGCTTGCTTCCCTGACAGCAACGGGCAATGTGTAAAGTGTTGGCAGTTCGTTGCTTTCTGTTCGTTAGCAGAGTTTTCACTGTACTCGCACATCATTCTAAGACATTATCAAAACCTGCTGCAAATTTCACTTGAAGAAGCTAAATGGAACACTCTTTCCTCCAGCTAAAGAAGTAGCTGAGTCGCTTCTCTCGCCACCCTCTCCCTCTCCCACCCGCCCCCTCTCTAGCATTCTTTAGCCATTTCTCGACGCACTTTTACCCGTTTGTATCGCATTGCTTGATGCTCGCATTTGGCCAGCTATCGAATGTTAAGATCAATTGATGATGCAACAGCAACAGCAACAGCAGCAGCAGCAGCAGCATCCAGTTGCACAGGATTGCGCACAGCCGTTAGACGTGCCAATCTGGCCAATATTGGATTCTAATGCACTTTCCCAGCTGCTGTCAACTGCGTGGCCAACTGGTTCTATGCCGCACAGCGGCCAACGCGATTCCGTTTCAGGTTGCCACAAAAAAATATGGCTAAAAAATGATGTGGCTGCCGCGGCAAGGGTATTTCGTCTAAGTTTCACTCCTCCAAAAAAACAGCAGAAGAAGCAGTAATAGAAAAAAGTTGTTCACAAATTTTGTATTTTGTATGCAAATGAGCAAAAAGAAGAATAGCTGACGCGGCACAGTTAAGAGGGGGGCGTGTCGTATGTTGTTTGTCGTTTGTCGTCTGTCGTTTGCCTGTTCAAGCAAATTTGTGCTGTGTGTAATTAGCAATGGCGAGTGCAGCAGGTGACGCAGGCAACCAACAGGTGCAACGGCCACCAGCCACTTGAGCCTGAAAGAGAAATTGGGTCAGAAGCAGTTACAATTGCTATGCCATCCAGTGTTGGGCAGCGTTTTGATAGCACCTCTTCAGGCATGTCAGTTGTTATCTCCTTCCATCTCTGTCTGTGTCTGTATCTCCGTGTCTCTGTCTTCGTCTCTATCTATGACAACAATAAGAAGTAAGAGTGTTGGCAGTGGCAAGCAGCTCAACTGGCGAGATACCCTAGAAAAAGAGGAGGCTGTAGAGAGATACATATGTATGAAAGAGAGAGAGAGAGAGAGAGAGAGAGAAAGAGAAAGGGAGAGACAGAGAGAGATAGAAAGAGAAAACAAGTAAGACAGAGGGCAAAGGAGAGAGAGAGAGACAGGGAGGAAGAAAGAGAGAGAAAGGGAAAAAAAGAAAGAGAAATACATATAAAGAGAGACATAGAAAGAGAGTCATAGAGAGAGAGATACTGAGAGAATTGGAGAGAGAGAGAGAGACAGAGCTTCCCAATGTTACTTTTGTTTATAGCAAACTTATTCTTGGACTTTTGAATACATTTCTACTTCATAAATATTGGAATTCGATTTAGATATATATTGGAAATTTAATTATTAAAATGTTCATATATTTGAGTTCAATAAACACTAAACGAATGGCAATTAGAGAGAGAGAGAGAAAGAGAGCTGATCAACTGAAGCTGTACTCATCTATGTACTCATCTGTACTCATCTTTGTGGTATCAAGCGAGCTTATCCTTTCTTGAATACGAGGCTGGTCTGATACATTGGCAACTTTTTTATATAACTATACATATATATAACTTTCAAAATTTCCCAACTATTTTTTAATTTTGTTATATTAAAATAAATTTTTTAACATTAATACTATACATTTCCTGTCGTCTTATATAAAATAAATATAAATAAAATATTTATAAGTGAACTACTTTATAAAAAAAATAATATACTATTTATTTAAATGATTTTTAAATTTTTAATATAATTTTTACATCTTATAGCAGTTGAATTAATTAATTAAAATGAATAATTAAAATAATTTTAATTTTTGTTTGCATTAAATTTGATTTTCAAGTTTAGCTTCACAAATCTTCAAACTACTCTCGTTGATATAAGCCAGTTTCTATATAAATAAACTGCAACCACATATACCCTACTATGCATGTGTACAGAGCATGTCAAGACATGTGCTCACATTTTGCAGTTGCTGCCGCTGCCGTTTGCTGCTCGTTGACAATGACAGACGCAATGTGGCCAATGGCAGCGAATTCGTTCAGGATAGTTTTGATTTCTATGGCAAATCAGAGCAACGCCTATAGCAACACAAGCAACATGAGCAACAAACAGCAACAGGCACGCAACCAATGTCAGTTTGTGGTATGCAGCAAAGAGTGAAAAGATTCGCAATTTAAGGCGAATTAGTGCAAGCGCAGCTCTAATTGGCATCAGACGACAGATATATATATAGATATAGTTGACAATTTGTTTCCTGTTTCACAGAAAACAACAACAACAACAACAACAACAAATGAGAAACCAGTCAATAAAATGAATTCTGAGTAACAAAATAAAAAAGAAGCAAAACAAAACAAAAACGAAATGAAATGGAAATTTGGGTTAACAGGTTGAATGCAGGTAGGAAAAAAACAATATTGAAATTAAATTTATTTTATGCATGCATTAATTGTTTAAAAAGCAAGGTAAGTGCTATAAATAAATGCATTTTTAAGCATATGCGAGGTCCGCTCGAAAAGTATTGCGTCTAAATTCGATTTTGGATGTGGAATGAAATCAGGTGCCTTACTTATGGATAGTTTGATAGCTGGCTCATCTTGACTATCAGCGTAGGCCAACAAATGATGCAGCCGATGAAAAAGGATCAAGTTAAACACGGCCACAAAACATGATTTGAATTAATATCTCGATGGGGTTTATTTTGAAGTGAGCAAAACAGCTCAAATTTGTCAAAAACAACGTCAAATTCACAATACTTTTTAGGCAGACCTCGTACACACATGCTTAATGTCATTAAGTGCGCTTGTGCCAGCGAGTTCGTGTCCTAAGTCTTTTGTTTTACGGCCGCCGCCGTGTAACAGGCGCTGCATAATCAATTAGAAGTCAACAACAACAACAAACAAATCATTTTGGGAAAGGCAATTGGGCAAAGGAAAGTGCAAGTGATGTCCACTATATAAAATATATATATATATAACTGTATTTTGTCAGACTACTTGTGACTGCGTGATGCGCATGTAAAAACAAAAACCACAAAATTTCAATCAAATTACAAATTGTAGAAAGTCTTTGCATATATATATATATGTGCATGAATATATATATATATATATTGACTACCTGTATTACACATTCTTACATAAGCCGTTGGCTTAACGGTAAACTCTAAGCAAACTTCGTTGCTCCTTGACCCAGTTAAAGCTGAGCCCAAAAACTCACTTTTCTAGGCTTGCTGAATTTTTCGACACGTTTTTTTCACTTTTTGTTTACGTTGCACGTTCTTTCTGTTGCTTTTAGTTTTTGTGCATCCTTAGCTGTTAACCGTTATAAGACGTTGCACGTTCTTGATTGGTTGCAGCAGCAGCTAGCGGCAGGCAGTCAACCGCGCGCGCAAACGTTTCAAATTCAACTAAAGCGGCCAACGGCTGCGCCAAGCGATAAAAGCGCCACGAAAAAATGCACAAGGCAAGGCACTGGAGGGCGGGGCGGGGTGGATAGGGGGCGGACAGACGAGACATAGGCAGAAGCTACCCAAAGCGATAAACCTGTATGCAGACATGGACTTGGAGTTGGTGTTGGTCTTGGTCGTGGTCTTGGTGTTTGTTTTTTGGTATTGGTCTTGGCCAATTGAGTATATGCGTTTGATTTGCTCTTGGCCAAAAAAACGGACACAGCTATGAGATATGAGCCATGAACTAGGAAGTGCCATGAGTCATAGTCCTCCAACGATTGAGGTCGCGTACCACAGAGGCAGCAAATTAGTTTCACTAACGTTCATCACAATCGACATGAGTTCTGGGCCTTGTCATGCCAAACTTTCCATGCATATTAAATGCGACAGTGCGTACAACCAAACCGAAAGATGCAAGTTGCGGTTTTCCAATCGACTGCGGTCCACAAGGCGTTTGGCCAGTTATCCAGGCGCTTGTCTAGTTTCTTACAATTTAGAACATGTTTTCCAGGCAGTTGATCGAGGCGTGTGCGTGAGCCATAACAGGCTTCCGTTGCGTTTTGAAAGTGAGTCTAGAAGTCTGCAAAACTGGGTCAAGGTTCTGCATATGGGGAAACTATTAAAATAGTTTTGGCGAAAATGTGAAAAGAAAATATTTATACGTTTAGATTTTGGCAATTTTTCATAAATATTTACGGCTTAATTAAGACAATTTTAGTCGCGTAAATGGCGCCATCATTAAGTACGTGGTGAAAATTTATTGAGCCACATGTAAATCGAATAAATCGTTATCAGCGAACCCTTGCGCGTACGTGCCGTGCGCTTTAATGAAGCTTTGCTCGCTGATTGACATAATTTCACACAGTTAAACGCTTTCCATTTGCTATTGCTTCATTTAAATAAAAGCCGCAAACCCATTTTAATTGTCTTACATAACGTTTGAGACTTGCAAACGTTGAAAGTCTGCACAAACAACATTCAAATGCTAACGTTCAATGTTGCATAGTGTTGCCAGACTGCGCCAAATAAGTGAGTGTTGCACAAGCGAGCTGCTGGCTTGTTACAGCTAAAACTATCGCATTGTTATCGATATTTTATTCAATCAAATAATTAAATGGGTGTGAAAATAAATTATCAAGATCTCATTCGACAATGGTAAATACGTCTTTTAGTATTTCAATATACTGCTCAGCACCATTAGCATTGGCCTCCTTATAGTAAGGCAGCTCACCGAGACGTGCCAGCCAAGCGGTAATCTTGGGATATTTCTCCGGGTCGATGCTCAACACGGCAGGCAGAGAAGATGCTGTAGCGCCGCAGCAGAAATCGGCAATTGTCACCGTATCGCCAGTCAAATAGGGACTTTCATCCAGAAAGTTTTCCAAATGAACATACGCATCAGTTATATTGTCAATCTTCTCCTGCGGCACTGTCGAAACCTTCTTATAGAAATACGGCACACTTATGTTCCTCAGTGGCATGAAGAGAACACTGGCATCGAAATATAAACGCTGCTCCAGCTTAGCTCTCTTCACTAGATCCTTCGGATATAGATCGTCCGATTGGGCATACTTATCCACCAGATAGCAACAGATGGCATGAGAGTCCCATATTAGAGTACCATCGTCATCCAAGAGGGGCACCGTATGCTGTGGATTCTTTTGCAGGAATTCCTCCGTTCTATGGTCGCCACTCAGCAGATCAATTATTTTATATTCAAAGGGCAGATCGAGCGCACGCAAGGTCAGCAGACAGGCACGCACTGGTGGACTTATGTCCAAGCCATAAAGCACCAATTTAGACATGTTTAAATTCAAGTTTGATCACAAACAAGAGAACAATCAACTATTGAATTCGAGACGTAGACGGCTACTGCATGTAATTGTTCAACTTCTAGGGCTTCATATATGCGGTTTGAGCTTTTAATAGAGCTCTTGAGCCGCCTATGTATAATGAGTAAAAAGCTCAGTTTATAAATAGATTGATATAAACAAATTGTTGTGACGCTCAAATTGCATATAATTCGAAACCCAGTTGCATTTAATAAACTTTTCCATTGAAATAAACAATTGATAATACTTTTTAGCTACTCTTAACAACCATTTCGTCACACCTTATCAGTTGATGTAATGTACACACAAACGATAAAGATAAGGTAATCATAAAAGGAAGGCAAAGCAAATACTCTCTTAATATGCGTATCTCATACTTTATAAAGTTGTTCATTACACATTAATAAAAGATAAGCATGTCATTGAGTATATATTTACACATCTGCTTGATAGTTTATGCTAAAAAGCTTCAATCAGGAATTAACTTATTTGCTTGCATTCAAACATAAAGAGTTGCGCGCCTTAAATGGCCAGTGTTGCTAAATGCTAAATGAGCAGTACTGCATAATGTCACCAAATAGCACACACCTGCAAGCCACGAAAGTAGATAAGAGCAGCGTTACACACGATGGAATACCCTGTACTAAGTAAAGTTACTTATGATATTATGAATATAATTATAATTTATCAGAGTTTTTCTAGATTTAAATGGTAATAAAATATTGGAATAGTAACAACTTAAGAAAATATTATCATTACACATTCATTACAGTTGCGTATTCTTTTCAAAGTTACCAAATCACTTTTAAAACAATATACCCTATATCGCAATGTTGACAGGGCACAACAACACACAGTCTTTGTGCAACGCATTTTCATTACTATCGACGAATTAAAACAGAAAATTTAACATTTTCCATGCCAAACACTAAATAATTGCACAACCACCGCAACCATCAGCTGCTGAAGGAGGCGCAACGTTTCGTGGCTGGACAGAAAGACGAAATGACGGCACGGAATCCCCAAACACTGATGGCATTGCCCAACGAAGAGAATTTTGACTTCCTATTCAAAATTGTGCTAATCGGGGACTGTTGCACGGGCAAGACATCAATATTGCAACGCTTCAAGACGGGCAACTACGTGGAGCGGCACGGCAACACCATTGGCGTTGATTTCTCAATGAAAACCATTGAAGTCGAGGGCAAGCAAGTCAAGGTAAGACAACTACGAAATTCAATGTCATATGAACTATATTAATTATAATGATGCTGTGTGGTATTTTCTTGAACTAGCTACAAATCTGGGATACTGCTGGGCAGGAGCGATTTCGCACTATTACTCAGAGCTACTACCGTGCCAATAATGGCGTCATAATTGGTGAGTAAACTTCCAAAAATGCAGGAGTGAGGTTTGAGGAGTTGAGCGACTAGAAGATACCCTGGACTATTTACTAAACCGATTTATGCTAAAGCTACTGATGAGGGGATGCAAACCTGTGCTTGTCTTAAGACTACCTATCTCTGTAGACTCAGAGACTAAGGACCCACGGAAGAACAAGGCTCTTCAATTGATATATATTTGTGGCCAGCTACAGCTGCCTGGAATAATGAAATACCCCTTTGTGGCCAGGTTAACAAAGACTAGGTAGCACAGGCAACTCTTATCATGACCTATTGATCCTATTGTCATGGGCTGTTCACTGATAAGCGAAAGGCCGTGCACATTTTTTACGTTACTATCGGGCGCGCTGTGATTTTAATGGCATTCGCTTTGCCCTCTTATCAGCAATACAAAATGCTTGTTAAACACTTCTTTTTATGACAGTCTACGACATAACGAAGCGTTCGACATTTGCCAATCTGCAAAAATGGATTGAAGAGGTGCGCCGCTATACAGCTTCCAATGTGCTGATCATATTGATTGGCAACAAGTGCGATCTGGAGTCCGAGCGCGAGGTGGACTTTGAGGAGGCGCGCCAAATGTGTCAGTATATACCTGAAATTCTATTTGTTATGGAAACGTCCGCCAAGGAGAACACAAACGTCGAAGATGCCTTTCGCTGTCTGGCCACGGAACTGAAGGTGTGTGTGTGGGTGTATGAAATAAATTATTTCGATTTTATTAACTAATTGTTTCCTTGGCAGCGACAACATGACTCGAGCAACGTTCAGCCCTTGGATGAGCACACTGTGCAGCTGGGCCAGAGCAAGCCGCTCAAGAGTTGCAGCAGCTCTTGCAATCTCACATAGACAACTCCAATTATTTATGATTTTGATTTTATTTTTGTGATCAAATGTTCATGTGGCTATAATCTTTTAGTATTTATACATATTTTATTTTGTTAATGTTTATTTATGTCTTCTACTCGGCGTGACGAGTAACTAAAACTTAATTTATTCATTTAATATACATATATTTTTATTTGTATTTATACAAATATCAACATATATATATATATATATATATATATATATATATATATATATATATCTATATATATATATATATATATATATATTTATATTTGTATTTATTTTGGTGGCTAGAGTACAAAACAATCTCACACATCACATTACACAAACAACAAGAACAAGAACAACGTCAATTAGAATTCATGTACTCCTCATTCGTTCTCTTTGATAACAGAGCAAATAAAATACGTCCAATTCTGTATTTAAAAACCGAAATTTTCGTAAATAAAAACTTGTTTATTTTATAAATTTATTGGAAGTTATTTAATTGGCTGCTTAGTTCATAACATATACATATACATAATATATATTTAATTTTATTGAGGGGCTTTTTTGACATACATAAGTGTGTGAAGCTTCTCTTCAAACAATTCTCTTTCGACATTTCGCTTTCGCTCTCGCTCTTGCTTTCGATTTCGCTTTCTCATTCGTATAATTAGTTATGTCTTTACATTTACAATTAATTATATAAAAAATTGATTTATTTGCCTAAATTAATTGTTTAACTATAAACTAGCTGCGTCTGTATCTGCGTCTGCCTGTTTGTCTGTCATTTGTTTTTAATGCGCTGCGCAACCCATTCCAAGCCCTGATACAATCCCTCGCCCGTTAGCGCACAACACGCTTGGATGTGCCATTGGTGTTTCTTGATGGACGTGAGATCCAGTTGCCTGGAGATTTCGGCCGCTGACATTGATCCCTTTAGATCCTGTTTGTTGGCATAGACGAGCAGGCTGGCTTTACTCAGATCTTCGTGCTGCAGCATCCGATAGAGCTCTTCGCGTGTAACAGCCAAACGTTCGCGATCCGTTGAGTCGATCACCATTATCACGAGTTCTGTATTGGTGTAGTATGTGCTCCACGCGGCACGCAAACTCTGCTGGCCACCCAAGTCCCACACTAGAAAGTGTATGTTCCGCCAGACCACTTCCTCGACATTGGAGCCAATCGTGGGACTCGTGTGGACAACTTCGTTCATCAGAAACTGATACAATATTGTTGTTTTGCCCGCATTGTCAAGGCCAACCATTACCAGTTTGTGCTCCTCGTTGCCAAACATACGCCAGAGACGCGACAGCAGTAGCCCCATCTCCAAATTATTGTTAGTTTTAGCGCGCACGCGGGTGTGTATATGTGTGTGGAAGTGAACGTATTTGTTGTTAATTGGTGACAAACAACACACAATCACAGGTATCGCAATCTATGCGCATATATGCATATGTACAAACGCCCGTTTCACACTGTAATGGTGTGTGTGCGAGTGCGTCAGTGTGTGCGTAAGCGTGTGGGTCGTCGTTCACGATGCCTTTGTTGTTGCGCAGCGGAAGGCCAACTGTAAATTATGCACTCACTCTCAGCTTGTCTGGTTTACGCACCACACACCACACTGCACTTTGCTGTTCTTTCAGTTCCTTTTCTATATGTTTTGGTCACTTTTAATCACTGGGCCCAAACACTTGTTGTTATTGTTATTATATTAGCACGACGATTTAGGTAGGCTTTGCTTTAGTTTTTTGTGCTGAAACAAAAAATTTGCTCACGATTTCAGCTAGATATGTGAACAGCATATCGATAAGTCGTCGTCACGATGTTGCGATACTTAAAGCACTACCTTATCGATAACTCATACAATCGGCACTGTTAGTAACGAACTCTTTTAATTAATTTTTAAATTTAACATTGTAATGTTAAATCAATAGAGGCAATTTAGAATATGTCTGAAACAGTATCTCCTAAGCATACTAGCTAGCATATATAAGCAATATGTATGCAAGCAAATTCTATCTCTCTAATTGCAGTTTTACTAACGAATTGTCAAAACCAAAACAACTTTATGCACTCATATTTTAATTAATATTATATATTAAGCACTTTTATGTTAAACAATGTTGTTCCACAAATTTCGTATGTTATATACACTCTCCAAATATAACTTTTGACACTTTATGTGTGACTAAGTTCCGAACTGCTTCGAAAATATTTTCAAAAAAAAAATTGAAAGTTTTTCTATTTCCCTACCGTTATTAAGATGAATGTCCTGGAGACCTTTCTTACGTGTCACCAGTTTCTAACTGATCCCATAACGGACCTCGAAATGGATCTGGAATTTAATGAGATAATGGCCGAAAAATGTGAAGTGTTTTTGAAAAGGAAGAAAGCCAAGTCGCGTTTCGTGAATATCGACAAATATACCAAAAATGAAATTTGTATGATGGATGATCTGTTGCCTACGCCCAACGTGGATCACGTGATGGAGGTTGTCATCGATGGATTGATTGCTAATATACATTTTTAGCGCAACAAACGATTCGTATATTTCGAAATTTGTTAAAAAAAATTAATAGATAAAAAAAATTCAGTGTTTCATAATTACAGTTAGGCAAAATGGCCCAAGCAACAATTGCTTAAACAAGATTTACATTTAAAGACTTAATAAATGTAGCAATGAAGAATAACTAAGCATGGTTTAATATAATACAAATATCTAGAGATAAAGCTAAGTTTCTAGGATTTTCCACTGGGCTTTTTGGACTTGGGTTTTCGAATGTGGCGTTGAGTCGGATTGCTGGGCGGTGCCAGCTCATAGCGGAAGATGATGCAGCGTCTGTCAAAGAAGCACTTGAGATCCTTGGGGTCGTAGCGATGACCCAGCTGCTTCAGATATAGATAGATGTCCTGTAAGTCGATGGGCTCAAACATTAGCACACTTTCATGCAGGCTGGGATTGGCGCAGAGCAAATTGTGCCAGGCTATGTGTAGTGGCAACAGCGGCTGTGGCGTCTTCTTGGTGACATTCGTCTGCAGCACGTAGAACTCGAATTCATCGCAGAGCTCTACCGGGTTGGACTGTGAGAAACGCAACAGCTCCGATCCAGAGGCATCACGAAACTTGAGACTCGGTTGGTAGTCAGCCTCGGCAGGCGTGAGGCAATCGGTGCTGTCTGCCTGAAGCAGCCGAACGTGGGTAGATTTGCCTTTGCCTCCGGTGACTGGCGTCGATTTTGAGCGCGGCAGTGGCAGTGGCTGTTGCGGCTCCTCTGCAAGCGGCAGCATAATGGGATGCGTCTGATTATATATATATTCCAGCAGTTTGACAGCCTGTTTACGTTTCAGAGGTTTAATGCCATAGTTGTACAGCTGCTGCATTAGCTCAGACTCTGTCATGAGAACAAAGTCTGGCTTAGGTGATTTACAGATGCGCACATTGTACACCTGACCATTCACCTCCAATTGGTCAGCAGCAAGTGGAGTAGTTGGTTCCACAGGTGGCACAGATGGCGCAGAGGAGGGCACAGACTCTGGCAAATTGTCTATATTGATCTCACCCAGCAGCAGGCGATCCAGGCCACTAGGCACATCATTGGCTGCATCCTTACCGTCTGATTGAAACACCATACGATCGAATTCATCGAAATCCTCAGCTGATTCAGAGACTTCGTTGAGCAGCTCTTTAAATTTGTTAGTGCTGCTGCTGGAGAAAGGTTTTATGCGCGACTCCGGAGGCGTGTCCAGAAAGGATGCATCCGTCCAGTCAACAGAACCCCGCGGTGAGTCAGCTTTCGCTTGCGTACTCTGAAGCTGAGAAAGTGTAAACGGTTGAGAGATTGCTGCATCCATTATGCCAAACTCAGCGCGTTCTTTGCTCAATGCGCTCTTGTTTGGAGAGCGTGAGTTGCTGGATGTCGCCGCGCAGCTATCCAAATAAGCATCCAAATCATCCATAGTCTTAAAAAAAGGCACACTTTTAGTCTTTTTCAAAGGCGAACTATGAGTGCTGCCACTGTCGCTGCTGTCACTGCTTAGCTGCTGATCTGATGGTTTGCCCGCCTTCCAAATCGAATAGTTGATTTCATCATCAGAGAGCAGAACACCAGCATCATCATCATCATCAGCATCATCATCATTATCATCGCCACTGTCTTGCGTTAAGTCAATGCTCGCGGCATTTGAGTGACTCAGTGGAGTAGTAAATGGCGAAATGGGCTTATCAGCAAAGGAGTTGCTACGTCGACTCAAAGGACTCTTGAAGCTGGCCTCCAGCTGTCCTGGCGATTGCGTTAAACTGAAGGCAACTTTGGTATTTTCCAAGTGACTAAAGCTGAGCGTTGAGTCTGTGTCAACAGGAGAAGCTGTAGCGGTGCTTATTTTAAAGGAATGATCCGTTGAGTCTGCTTTAGTCTGCCTTGATGGTCTGCCATATTTGGCATACAATTCATCAGAGATTTCACAATGTTCCGGCTGTTCGTATAACTCAATATCATTATCGAAGTTTATGGTTGGGCTTTGCGGAAAAATGTGTTGCTCGAAAAAAGATTTACTTGAGGTGGTTTCCACTGCGGCATCGGATGAATCTGACTTCTGTGTCAAATCTATAAAGTTATCTGTGTAGAAAAGTCCAAAATATACTTTAGCATCATTAGAATTCAAATGAAGAATGGATAATGCTTACTTTCAACAGTTTCGTGCTCCGCTTTAGCATCTTTTACAGTCTTCACTGAAACAAATTCATTTTTATTAAAAATTCTATTCTGTTTGATTCCATTGCTTTACCTTCATCACTGGAATAGACTTCATAGCTATTTATATCGGTTGTGCTTATGTTCTTGTAGACCTTCATAGAAAAGTTGTGCATCTCAATAGCTGCGCTGCCTGTGGCTGATGTCGTCTTTTCATCATCCTCATCCGAATCCGCAAATAGATCGGGTGAAGTGCAGCGTGTGGTTTGCGTGGGCAAACTAAGTAGAGCCGACGAAGTGGGTTGTGTGTTCTCCTTATCATTACTTAACTCCTCAGCTTTTTGCATCATCTTGGCTCGCTTGTCTGGCGGCTCCTTTAAAGGACTCGCCTCGCTTAACGTGATTTTCACTTCGGCCTCTGCCACTTCGCTCTGCTCCTGTATTACATTTTCAGTTCGAATTTCACTTCTTTCAACTGCCAGTAGGGTTTGATCCTGCTCAGCAACATCAGCTAACGTTTGGCTATTATCCTGTATCATATTGTCTGCCACCAGCTTTTCCAGCTCATCCAATTCTTGCTGCTCAGCAGCTGAACCAAAATGCGCCTCTAGCTCTTCGTAGACCCGTTCCAATTGCTGCTTTCTACGCAAGCCAGCAGCACCTTCTGGCTTCGGCGATAAATCTCGTCCAGGTATAACTGCCCAGTTCTTCAGCAAATGGTGCGCAGGTGTACGACTGATTTCGATTAAATCCTGCACATAATATTCAGATAAATTTGTGAGGGACTCTTCGCTTGGTTCATGGACAATACATCGCTCAGCTTTGGCTTCCAATTGAAGCAGACGTTTGCTGATCAACTCGAATGGCATTCGAAGTTCTGCGCTTGGCAGCTTGGTGCGCACCTGTTGCTTCATTAGAGCATCTACCTTGGCCTGCAACTTTTTCAGCTGCTCTGCCGGATTGCGTAGTGTAAGGGGCGTAAATTTATTTGCCCATTTGCAGCGTTTGCCACGTGTTGGCAAGGCAGCAAAGGTAAGCACATTATATTCTAGAAAAAGTAGTTAATTAGGATTTTTGAAGCATTCTTTGTTGCTTGATTGACTCACCCTCCTTAGCAGCCGTACGAAAGCCATATTTTTGCAGCTTGCGTCGTATATTATCGGTTGATTGATGCGCTGTATCATCAATAAGATTAACCACTTCCTCCCGCTCGTCTTCCGTATCCTGCAGACGTAGTCGTCCATGTTTCTCTGCTTCTGATTTGGACAAGGCCAACGCCATTTCAATGTCATCGGGACTAAAGTTGTCTGCCATGCAGTGCTGTGCTGTGACCTCTGAGAAGAGCTGCTCGTTGCGTAGAAAGTTGCTTATGCTGGGCTGCTTGCTGCGTCCGCCGCCCCGAGCTCTTTTCTGAGTTGCACTGCTTTTCAGCTTAGGCGCTTTCTTGGGCTTAGCCACAGCAGCAGGCTTATCCTCGTGGCTCCCTCGTGTCCGCTTCTTACTGGGCTCTGCAAAGAGTGGCTCCTGTCCCGCGGCCTCGGGTGCTAGAGTATTGCTCGGACTCTCAGCATGATCGAAATACTCGGATAATGTCATTGGCACCGTGCTTGCCGTACTGGAGCTTAAAGTAGTAAAAGAAACAAGAGTTTTAGTACAACTAGAACATTTTATTAGTAAACTGAAACACAACTAATTGAGGTTCCATAGCCCGACCTACCGCTGCTTGGAGTTCGCGGTTTGTAGTTTCTGAAAGTTTGCTCGCCGTGTTCGTCCGTCCATTTTGCATTTATATATTTATGTTATTTATATTATCTTCTTAACGTTCCGTACGCAAATGCTCGCCCTCATCAATGGCCTGTCGGATGTATTTGCCAGGACGCGGGGCAGCAAATTCGAACAAGGCCTTACGATCCTTCTCCTCTTCGGTGACTGTGGCCAGATCCTTGTACAGCCTTTCGTTGACAATGCGTTGCATGGGCGTCAGACTGGAAAGGAAATATATAAATTAGTTGAACGTTTGCAAGTTGATCAGCAATGCGGCACAGTATTTTGCAGCCTTCTACTTGCCTCCAAAGACCGAAGAGCACCGTACCGACCGCCAGAATAGCGCAGGCAAAACGATTACGATACTGATAGGATGGTGTACCTTGTGTGCGTCGGGGTTTGCGCTTGCTAGTATCAATAGATGCCATTACCGTGTTTACCTGAGTTTAGCGCGATTATATAATTAAATACATTTTCTATGTGCAACAATTAGCGGCTAAACAACATAAAGGTGATGAAACGCCAATGCTGGCCAGGGTTGCACAAGAAATGAACGTGGATGCACAAGTTAAATACAACTTTAGATATTCACAAAGCTGACAAATGCTAAAAATAACAATAAAATCGACATTTATGTATTTTTTTTAAATTAACATAAGAGAACTAATGCCTTTTCATAACAATATTTGTTTATATATGAATTATATTTTGTAACCCTGGCTTACAAGTACTCGGTAACCGTAACGGTTATATTCATGTCATAAGTAATTAACGTTAATTAGCGCACAGCGTAGGAGAGAATTGAAAATCGAATTTAGTTTTATTTGAACGCTAATAAAGTTCAGGTGCATAACAGTCAATGTTTTGCGAATTAAGTGTGTTGTGTGTATGATTTAAAACAGAGAAGCAATCGATGTAAGTGCAGCACTAAATAAGTGATAAGAGAATGTAAGAAAAACTTATGCGTAAACTACAACGCACACAATAACAAGTATCAAAACTATAGACAAAGAGAAGAGTACAGAGTACAGCAAAAACAATATAAACGAATGCGATAACAAACAGACAAAGCAAAAGAGTTGAAAAATACACGAACACATACAATCGCAACTAAAATTGTTTGTTTGTGTGTGTGGGTGTTAGAGACCGTAACCAGATACAACGGCATTTATACACACTGTCAAAAGAAAGAATGCTGAGTATGATATGAAGTATATGAAATATCGGAAATTTATATTGAAATGTAATATTTATATATAATATTATAAAGTAAAATCAAAGTTATAAATAATAATACTAAAGTATAAGAACAATACTAACAATCTCTCACAAAATCAATTGAATAGGAGTTAGATTTAAATATGCAAATAATGCCTGTTAGGGTATTTGGCCTTCGACAGCATAGGTAATTTTTTGTTTTCTTTTACAGAAATCTGCGAATAACGAAAACAAATTTCGATATCAACTTTTGTTTTTGTTTTTAAAAAACGCCCTTTTGTGCGCAGTCAGAGACGGATCATTATTTATCCATTCAGTGCAATTGTGTCTATCGAGCCGCTTAGTCATGGCTCGGGAGGACGAGGAACGCATCGTGGACAACGAGGAGTTGGCAGTCAACGAGGAGACTCCGAGCGCGGATCGTGGACGCCAGGATAATGAGTTGGCTCTACCCTCCGGCGGCTGTTGCATGCCAACGAGCACCTGTCATCGATTCCAGGCGCTGGTATTTATGTGCCTGCTCGGCTTCGGCTCGTACTTTTGTTACGATAATCCGGGCGCCTTGCAATCGGTCTTCAAGAGGGAGTTGGATCTGAGTGCGACACAGTTTACGCTCATCTACTCGATCTACTCGTGGCCCAATGTCGTACTCTGCTTCGTAGGTGGATTTCTGATTGATCGTCTATTTGGTATACGTCTGGGCACGATTATCTATATGCTTATCTTGCTGGTGGGTCAGCTAATCTTTGCCAGCGGAGCGCTTTTTAACACCTTTTGGCTAATGATACTCGGCCGATTCATCTTTGGCATTGGCGCCGAATCGTTAGCAGTGGCACAGAACAGTTATGCTGTGCTCTGGTTCAAGGGCAAGGAGTTGAACATGGTGTTCGGTCTGCAGCTCTCAGTTGCTCGATTTGGCAGCACCGTCAACTTTTGGGTCATGCAACCGATCTATAACTATGTGAGCAAGTTCTATGAGGGATATCGTGGCCTTGGCGTCGTACTGTTGCTGGCCACGGTCACCTGTGTAATGTCGCTGATGTGTGCCCTCGTGCTGGGCTGGATGGACAAGCGGGCGGAACGGATCACACAGCGCAACAATAATCCCTCCGGGGAAATACCCAAGCTAACGGATGTTTTCACATTCAAGGCGCCCTACTGGATGGTCTCGATCATTTGTGTTGCCTATTATGTGGCCATCTTTCCATTTATTGCGCTCGGCCAGAAGTTCTTCATGGATCGCTTCGGCTATACGGAGGCGGAGGCAAACACTGTCGACTCGCTGGTCTATCTAATTGCTGCAGTGTCTTCGCCTATCTTTGGCTTCATCATCGACAAACTGGGCCGGAATGTCACCTGGGTGATGACGGCTACGATCACAACGATTGCGGCACATCTGCTGCTCACGTTTACCCAAGTGACACCCTATGTGGGCATGATTATAATGGGCTTATCATATTCCATGTTGGCTGCCAGTCTCTGGCCCTTGGTAGCGCTCATCATTCCCGAATATCAACTGGGCACCGCCTACGGCTTTTGTCAATCCGTACAGAATCTCGGCCTGGCTGTCATCACCATTATCGCTGGCATCATAGCCGATCAGAGCAAAGACGATCATACCTGGGTGCAGCTATTCTTCATGGGCTGGCTAACACTTGCCCTAATAGCCACCAGCGTGATCTGGGCTTATGACAAGAAGCATCGCGGCAATCTCAACATGAGCCCAGCTCAACGGGCGTCATTTATCAATTCGGCCAATTATCAGAATTTTGAATAAGGAATTACAATAGGCCAGCATCCTGTATGGAAGGGCCGCCTTGCGATAATTCTTTTTATTATTAATTTGCTTATTCAAGGGCCCCAAATGCGGGTCTCATTTTTACAAACTCTGTGAAAAGACGGGTCTATGTTGATCTTTGCCAATGTGATGAGCGAACAGTGTATCGCTAGGTATTTACTAATCGGAATTGTTTGTCAAAAAGAAAGTACACACACACACAGACAGATTTACATATTATATATATATTACATTTATGTATTTTTAGAGCGATTTATTATTAATACAATTACTGCATGTTAATCTTTTGTGTACATGTTTTACAAATTTTAAATTAAATAAAATCTCTGTTTAAGTAAAAATGTTTAACAATAAATCACTGATATTCCATATAATTGTCTTTTCAATTCACTAATATTTCTTACACTCCCATATTGTATAGCAAAAAAGATATATATATGTATAAATATATATGTATGTTGATAACGGTATAGCTAAATTGATTGTTGTTTTCTTGAATTGGTTTACTTCCTGGGAACTGGAATGTAGAGGTCTGGGGAAATATTTTTAAAGAAGAGAAATTATATCTATATATATTACCTAGGGAACTGACGAAAGTCTGTTTACACAAAGTCCACATTAGTCATACGCCTGCTAGATGATAAAGCTCATTTTACTGATTGTTCCCATTAGAAATGTGAGTTAAAGCAGACTTCTACATATACTATATTGGAAGTATAGACAAGATTGCAATTGTTGAATCAGGTCAGCATAGCTGAAATAATAAAGAACTTTTCCATAAACTTTCAAGTGTTGACCGATAGTGGCTATGGTAACTATATAAGAATGAGATAAATATATTACTGACAACTGGTTAGCATATGGAACTATATTATTTCCTAGTTTAATTCAATTATTTTGTGTAATCAATTTTTTACTATATAGTATCTAAGTTTATCAATCAAAAACTCTGTGGTTGAACCCCAGAAGTGAACATATGAATACTTGATAGAAATAATAATCTGCTCTAGAGTAACAAAAGTTCATTGATAGTAATATATATATATATATAAGTTCTAGAGCCAATTGACAAACATTGTCCATAGCTCAGAACTGGCTTTAACAATCATATTCCCAAAAATATATACAAAGGCATTCGGCATTAGCTAACAATTAAGTTTTTCCAATCAAAAACTTATTAGCAGAGAAACTTTAAATGCTATCAACTTATATTACGCTTTAAAGCTTATGCTAATAATGCTAATTCAATGTGTAATTGCCTTATCTGAAAGTCAACCCACATTTTCGAATGCTCTATGTAGGCATTGCCCGAATCGATCACAACGTTTTGCTTCGCAGTTTGTAGAAAAAGTTCCACGTTTGCTTTATTTAAAACATTTTAATGTCTGTCCGTCGTTCGAGCACCTCGATGCATTGTTTGCTGTCCAGGCCGAGCACGCGGAGCTCATGCAGTGGCTTCGTCTTCTCCTCTGCCGTTTGCCCGCCGCGCAAAGTCTCGAGCAGCAGTAAAGCTGTGCCCCTTGCCGCTGTCAGCAATTTGCCAGCGTCATGAATGCTGAAATATAACGATATAATGATTTAAATAAATATCATATTTAGCAAGAGCTTGAATGACGACTACGAAGCGGTCATGACTCACCGCTTGAAGAGCAGCTCGGGCCGTCGTGTGTATTGACCGAAGAGCGCAAAGAGCAGCGTCATATCGTAATTGAATTGGGCAGCACCTGCAGTTGAGAACCTCGTATTTAATACCATATTCTCCAGTATGAAGTCGTCGATCTGCTGGGCCATTAGACGCAGCGTCTGATTAAACAAATTGGAGGACAGTTCACGTTCCAAATTGTGCAAAAGCGTGACTAAAACTTGGAACATTTCCCCGCCACTGGGCGAGAGTATGAAAGGTTCGCGGCTATTCTGCTCGGGCATGCTGGGCCAGCAGTCGTGTCGATAGTTCATTGACTTTGCCTTCATCTCGTTCACTGCCTTGTTGGCCAGATTCTTCATTAGCTGGCGTGCCCAGTGCTCCAGCTCGGCGACGGGATGTTCGAACACCGAATTGATTTCACTGGCATTTGGCCCAGCCAGCGCGGCATGCAAATGCAAATAGTGCACATTTTCACCCCATTCACGCAGCACCATAATCAAGTAATTGATGGCATTCAGTACGGGCAGGCTGGCCACAGCTCCACTGCTGTGCAGCTGTACGAGTCGCCGTCGAAAGCTGTCAATTAGCTCCAACTGCAGTTGAAGGAATTGCAACTGATGGCCGGGCTGTATGAGCGCATAATAACGATCCTTAATGGCGTCCAGCAGGCGCATAAACTGATCGGCACATTTCGGTATCTTTAGATCATCCTCATAGGTATTAGGATCAATTAGCTGAAACGGCGTCTCCGCCTGCAATATTTGATCCATTTTCTCTGCGCAAACTGAAAACAACCAAAAATTAAACATAATTTGCTAAGCCTATTCTACGTAACAATTTACATTGCTCCTCTAGCGATATCCACCGAAGCAAATACATTGGCTGAGTGAGCACGGAAATGGCGCTGGGAAAGCTAGCCGGATAGCCGAAGGTCTCACGCAGCTCTGCCTCAAAGGCTAGCGTCTCATCCAGCAGATGAGCAAACAGATTCTCATCCTGCGCAATTTGCTCAATATCCGCGGCCAGCTTTTCAATAGTCAACTGCACCAGGCCTCGCATGAATTCCAGCTAGAATAGACAATCATTTAGTATGGATTACAGGAAATTAAATTATCGATTCGATTTACTCTAAGATTATAGTCCAATTTGCCCGCCTTCATGGCCGCTGGCTGAAACGTTTTTCCCACAAAGAAATGCGTTTGTTTGCCCCAGTTTAAGATCTGCGTGTAGAACCATTCGGGCTTGTCCAATCGATTCGTTTGCCGCGTTCCTGTGAAATGGAACATGAAACGCTGGCGATACGGAGCCAACAGCAGCTGAACCACCTGACTAATGGGCGGGCACACAATGCTGGAGGTGATTGTCTGCAGCTTAGCATGCTCCTCAGCTGGTGATTTGATGAGGAACATATATTCGGCGAGCAGTTGCGCCTTGGCAGTGTCACGACTGGGCGAATAGTTAACCGACTGCTGTTCCAAATGCGCCCAGCGCATCGCCTTGAGCACAGCCTCAAACTCGCTAGAGAGACGTTGCAGTAGCAGCTTGTGCCAATAGATGGCTGTGGATTCAGCGTAGGACTTAAGATGATTGGCTTGCACTGCCTGCAATCGACCCACCACACTGTGCTCGCAGTCATTTCCCTCGTATAGCGTTAGATAGATGTTGACCAGCTTAGCCTCGTCTTTACCATTGATGGCGCCACCTAAGGCTGCGCTGATCTCTTGTATATCTTGTACAAGGCGCAAGTATTGTGTCACATTTTGTAGCTGTCGAACCTGCTGCAGATCCTCTGCGACGCCCTCCAGAGCCGGCTGACACTCCTTCAGCTTCTGTTTCAGTTTCGCGCTGAATTGCGAAAGTTTCTCCAGCTCGAAGTCGATGCTCTCGCAGACCTGCTGCTGGCATTGGAGCGCTGACTTGTAGCTGGACACGTTAAGTGGTTCTTCATAGTTGAGCTGAAAGGCTAAAGCAATTATATATGCTGCAATATTAGTATTTGTACTCACGTTCTGGCTGATCGATTGCAAACGTTGCTTGGAATCATCTACGAGCAGAGCAGCTCGATGCAGCTGATTGGCATCTTTGCCGATCTTTTCGTTGAGCCGCGCAGCAATACGTTGTTCCAGTTCACTCAGCTTTCCGTGCATTGTATGGGGTGCATTCAAATAAAAGTTTAAAACATATAATTGGGCTATGAACACGTATAAAAATAATTGTTGATGCAGTCACTACAGAACCATGGCTGCAGTTACTAAATTTAAAGAGTGAACTAGTTAATGTAGTTCATAGTTCATTTGTTTAATTCCAGTTGTGGCGCCAAATCTGAACTACTAAAACGAACAATAATTATTAAACAAATGGGCTATGGATCGGTTTAGTGGTTGTTCTACTCGAAGCTCCAAAGTTAAACTAAGAACACAAGCATTTATTCAACTACCTGGTGTAGGCTGACTAATGCTTGAGAGCGGTAGACCTTGTCATACTCTTTGCTCGTTGCATTTTCGCGCCATACTCAAATTCCACTACCTGCTGTATGGCTGAATAATGAGTGAGTTTACATGTGGCGCCAAACTAAAATTACTTTACTACCTGCTTCAGGCATAAACCCACGATAGATATCTCTTTGTGCTCGTTGTGCTCGTTCGTTTCTCTTCTATATCGCATGAGGTAAATTAACTTGCGTTGTTTCGATACAAGTGAGAGCTGGCTGTTTTTGCTGCATTTTAATCGATACCGATAAGACATTTGTTGACATTACCAGTGAATGGCAATTTTCAAACACAGCCGCCAGCAGGTGTTGCAGTTGGCGTCGCGTTGCATTAACTTTTTCGTCGTGTTGCGGAAAATTTGAGGTGAAAATGTTTACGCCAAAACAAAAGAGCCACACCCAAGGTGTTGCATGCTCGCCGCACACGCCGCTCAGTTTTAGCCGCGAGCTACGTCAGGTTTTGCAAGAGCGAAACCTTTTGACAGCCAAGTCGCGTAAAAAAGGTAAGCGAAGGGGCGTGCCCAAGCCAAACACAAAACAATCCTTCTAATTTGTGTCTTTGTCTCTATCAGTGTGTTCTATGCTGGACAGCAACTCCAGCAGCCCCATTGGTTCACCCAATCCGGAAGCAGGCAAACGCATCGGCTTCCGTCTGCAGGCAGTAGAAGAGATTATCACGTCGGAGAAATCCTACTTGGAGCAGCTGGAGCTGCTAATGAAATACTTTGTGCGCCCGCTCAAGGAACAGGCTATCATCGATGCCGCCAATCATACAGCACTTTTTGGTCAAATCGAGATGATACACAATTTGAATGGCGAGTTCCTACGCGAGCTGGAAGCCAATATGGAGAATGTGGCACATGCGTTCCTCAAGATGGCTCCATTCTTCAAACTCTACTCTGTTTATGCGTTTGACTACCGTGGTGCATTGTTCATATTACAAGATCTGATTAGCAAGAATCCAGTTTTTCGCAAATTTCTGGAGGAGAATGAGAGCCGACCGGAGGTGCAGCGTAAGCTAAATTCCTTGATGATTGTGCCCATACAGAGAGTGCCACGCTACAAGTTGCTGCTGGAACAGGTGCTGCTCTACACCAGTCCAGCCGATGCGGACTATAAGCTCCTGAAGGGTAACTTCTGAATTAATAACAATTTCCGCAGATGATTTCAACGTTTTCTTTAACAGAATCTGTCAAGGAGATCGAGGCAACGGCCTCACACATTAATGCCTGCGTGGAGGAGCAGGAAATAACCCAGTATTTGATACATCTCCAGAATTCGCTTGTCAACCGCACGCCCAACATTGTGAAGCCTTCGCGACGTGTCATCAAGGAGGGCATGCTCTACAAGATTACGCACAAAGGGCAGCCGATCAAGCGGTATTGTGTGCTCATGTCGGACATATTTATGTATTGCAAGGTGATCAAGGAACGTACGCCTAACACCCAAGTGGAGAACTCGCTCGAATGCTGTTGCATTTTTCCACTAAAGAAGTGCAAAGTTTATGAAATGATGCCCGGAAATTTCAAGTTGAGCTGCCAGAGCGATGGCATCATCTTTGGCTGCGATGATCTACAGGTGTCACGCACCTGGGTGGGCTTCATACGGGATGCCATCGACCTGCATGTGCAGTGCCGCAAGACATTGCGCAAAGATTCCAGCAAACGTACGCCCATCCGCAAAAAGGATATGAAGAAATTTGGTGCCGACTATGTACTGAGTCCCAACAAGCGCAAATGCGTGAGTAATAGAAATTTCAGCTGTGACAGCTTTATAATCGGTTTGCTTTACAGGATTATGAGACTGTTTTTCGCAACAAGAATCGCAGCACGGATTCTGATGAGGAGGGCAATGAGTCAATGGGTAATCACATTTGCTTCCCACGCAAGCGCAAGTACTCGCAGCAAATGCCACAACCGTCCACGTCCACTTTGTCCGTGACTGTGAAGCGTCCTGCGCCACCGCCGCCCACCGTGCAGCTGCGTATCAAAGAGGAGCACCTGTCCGCTAGCAAGGAGAATCGCATCTCCAAGCTATACAAAATGATTGCCACAGGCGGCGGCGATAAGACCAACAACTTGCGTAGCATATTGAAGCGTAGCAAGCCGACTAACAGCCAGACACTTGATTCGGATCCTAGTTATGGTTTTGCCAGTCGCTACTCCGACTCGAAGTCATATTTCCGTGCTCACAACGTGGACAATACAATACCCACGGCCATCAAGCGTGAGGATCTGTTTGATGCGGACATGGGCGATGGCAACTTTCGTGATGTGCTCTTTCCATTGCGCTCGAGTGGAGGCAGTCAAAAAAGTGGCGGCGTCGGGGGTGGCTGGACAACACCCGAACAGACTCTAAGATCAACTGAGGAGGATGCCTTGTATGCTGTTCCCCAGAAGAAGCGCGTCAAGTTTGATGATGCGCTAGGTGCGTATGAGCAGAAGCCCTTTGTATTCCCCAGCAGTGGAAGCAATGCAGAAGCCATGAAGTCTCCTTCGCTAAGGGAACGTATTTATGACTTTTTTGCCAATCTCTTTTAGAATTAGAAAATATATTGTCACACATCATATCACTGATCTAATTCATAATAAAAGCATTTACTACATCAACTCAAGCTGTTAGCTGGCGCGTCGCAGTTCCCTAATCCTGCTCATAAATCCCTCCACGGTCCGCTCTTCGATATCCTGCTGCCAGTCGCCGTCGTGCTTGAAGTGAGAGCCAATGATCACAGCTTGTGCATCGGTGTAATATTGACTTATGTTATCCTTGGTTACACCCGAGCCTATTATGAGTGGCACCTTCAGCTGGCCGGCTAACGCCTGCACATCTGTCTGACTAGCCGCCTGACCCGTTGCTGTGCCCGTGACAATAATTCCATCGGTGAGAAAGAATTCCGCAGCATGAGCTGTTTCCAGCAGGCTTACGTCTGCTGTAATGGCGTGTGAGCTATGTTTCTTCTTGAGATCCGTAAAGATAAGCACATTCTCTGCATCAATTTGTTTTCGATAGCGCAACAGCTGGCCGGCACATGCATCCGTATAGCCTTCATCGGCGACATGACCGAAGACAAAGCCTTCGGCGCGTATGAACTGGAGCTGGCAGGCCTTAGCTATGGCCAGGGCTTGTTTGTTGCCACAGGCTAGCACTTGCACGCCACAAGGCGTCTTCTTTGGCAGTATATCGCGCACTGCCAGAGACAGCCTTGTCATACACGAAACTATTTCAGCACCTAGGTGATGATCCTGCACATAGGGTATGTCATGCATATTCTCGATTAGCACAGCATCCTGTACAAAGCGGCATAATAGATTATATTATTGCATATATTATATCATTGTCTGCTTGCCATTTGCTGTCTTCTATACAGCTCTGCCTCGTGTTTGGCCTTCTCAATGGTCTGATTCCAGTTGCCGGCATAGCGAGGTGTGCCTTAATTTGAATTTTCTTATATTAAAATCGTTTTTCAGTGAGGTTTTTTCGGCTGCATTCACCTGGCAGCGCATCCACATGTATCATGCCAATTATTTTGCATTTTTCTTTACCAAACACGCTAATAAATCGTCGCATTACAAAATTAAATATATATTACGAAAAATAACAAAAATAGAGAGAAGAAAGGTCGCATCAGCTGTTCTTACCATCTTTCTCAACACTGTTGTCACTTGCTACCTGTTTGAATGTACTTTGTGTTGCAGCCCTGCGCTAGCCGCTGTTAATATTTAAATTAGATCGCACTTATATATCGGATATTTCCCAGTCGATTCGCAGACCGACCGTTTCAAGAAAATATTTTAATATCAAATTGAACTCATATCCACTCTCAACTTTATCAAAGTACAATCTAAAAGCATATACGCGTGTGATTAATTAATTTATTCATCGTCATGCTGAAAGGTATTAAAGACATTTTCTATAATTAAAAATATGTAAGCTTTTCACGTTTAACAATTTTATTATTATAATATTATTGCAAATTGGTTATTTACTCAAATTTGCCACATATTGAGCTCGTACCCGTTATAAAATGGTACATTTGATTGGTACACATTAATTTAACAATTTAAGAGTCAAACACGGATTTTTAATCCTCGGTGCATGCGCTAATCCCCAACATGCACGTCACGTAAGTAACTGCGCTTTGTTTTTTTGCTTTTATGTTGTGCTAACACTAAGAAATGCGTCTAATGGCTGTCCATTAAAAAAGGGCGCCGCATGGAACACCATCACAATTCGCGGCGTCCTGCTAAAACAAAAGGCAAAGGCTTATCACGGCCACAGGACGTCATAGAAACAACGGTGGCCGGGAAAAGCATTGGCAGCTGTTTGGAAATTGCAAAATGAACAGGCTGCGCGCTTTGGCATTGCGTTCGCTACTCAGTGAAAAATTTCCAAAGATGGTTATGTTGAATTTTGTATGCGGAAGGGTGACAGCGCCAACAGCCTTGGTTGATTTGGTCGGTTACGGGTGACTGGTGTTCTTTATGCAAATACATCGTTTAGAAGCTAGACTTGAAAAGTTTTCTTGCTATATATCGATATTTAACGATAGCTGCTGATCCTGTCAATACATCGATATATTACATACAACATCGATACAAACATACAGGTTGGTTCGAGCAATAAATCTTTCATATTATATATTGAGCAAGTGTGTATAGGGTATAAACTAGTCAGTCACAGTTAATGTTAAATTCTTGTTACGCGTCCCTTGTTACATTGTTTGAAATTGTGGCGCGCGTTGTCCTTGAGTTTGATTTGCTTTAGGACCAGATCGGGGGAGCTCGCCTCGCTGGCTAACTGGGCGGTTGGCTGGGTTTTGGTTTTAGGTTTGGTGTTGGCCGTGCCTATGTCTGATTGCCTGTGCTTAGCGGAAACGGCAACGGCAACGGCACTGGCACTGGCACTCGCTGTGCGCAGCGCGCCATTTCAATTACCACGCCCCATCGCGCCTCCAAAAAAAAAAAAAGAAAAACAAAATAACTGTACAGCATCCCATTTGGGCATGGCATTCGCAATGGCATCCGGTGTTTCATTTGTTTGTTCTGTTTTCGCATTGTTTTTGTTTGCTGCACACACGTATGTTTTGTGCACGTTAACAATTGGGCTTTGTTTTATTTTACAATATGTAAAAGTGCTTATGGCCTTTGTTCTGCCATTTCGATTGAAGCACAGCTGCGGGTCCTTTCATGCAAAACACAAAAACCACGATTTATTATTTGCAAAATGCACAAGCAATTAAACAAATTTAATTGAATTATGATGTGCTGATTGGATGTGGCCTGCAAGTGGACTGAAGGCTGTGAAATTGTTTACTTTTTTATTAGGTTAACTTGTCCAGAGAAGAATTTAGTTTTCAAATTTAAGCAAATGTTGAAATTGAAATTTTCTTGTGCACTTTCCAAGGATTTTGGGTGGAGCGCGCAAAGTGCCAGAGGGAGGTGAAATGAATTTTTGTACACCTGCTCTGCAAAGAACATAAATTATTTATAACGTGTGCTGAGCGCTACACTCAACACCTGTACCTTGCTTTTGTTGTAGCAAACAGAGCAACGCACACACACCCACACACAATGCTTAGTTGTTGTAGTTGCAACAAGTTGTTTCCGTTGCTTGCTTTTGCGATTATGCAAGACACACACACAGCATATAACGCAATTATGTGTGTGCGTGTGTGTGTGTGCTGCACTGAAAGGCAAACAGCATAGACAGGATATCCTTTAAGCAAGCAACAGTTACTCAAAGTTCTGCTTTGCAAGCGTTTCCCACCTTGTTGGCACTTTTTTGTATGCCGGGTAATTAGCTGCCCATAACTTTGGCCAACATAATAAGCAGCACAAACAAGTCTGTACACTGCTATAAATTGTTTATGATTTATAAACACATTTGTATGAGGAAAATGCTAAAGCTTAAGTTGAGCTAGAGTTGGGAAAACTTCTTGAATTAGAACATTTTAAAGAAATTGCACGCACAGGCGGACATTGCTCAAAACCAAACCAATATACTCTTTTCAATTTGTGAACGAGCAGAAACAGTATTTGTTTTTATAAAGTTAGTAGATGGCAGCTAAATAAATATAAGGGCTTAAGAGCTAGCTCGATACTCCAAGCTGGCCGTTAATAGAGCGTTTACTGTATGTGCATAGCCTAGCATATATATATATATATATATATATATATATATATATAAATAAATATCTAGTATATAATCACTTTAGCTTTTAGCCTACTAAATAATTTTGCGCCCAACTTTCTGGCTAATTGAAAAGTTATAAAACTGGCAGCTGTCAGCTGCAGCTTTGACTCCCCGAGCACAAAGGTCAATCTACAACCTGTCACAGCCTCCCTCCCCCTCCCCCCTTCCTCCTCTCTCACTGCCTCATTAAATCAAATGTTCACACTTTGAGCATTTTTGTTAATTGGCTTTTCCTCGATTTTTTTTGGCCACATTGCAACATTGATTTCAAATATATATTACTCATGCGCCGCGTTGGACGCGTGATAAATTTACCATTTTATTTGGCATTTCGCGAGCGCTCGAAACTTGTTTTTTATTGTGCGAATGCAATTAGTCAATAAATTTAAATGAAAATTACCAATTGCCATGCAAATGGCATAAGCTGGTTGACAAAATGGATTCGCGTGTTGCTCTATCTCTGACCATAATTTCTGGCTGCCAAGCTACAGCTCATCGATCATCGTTTAGAGTGCGTGTGTGTGGGTGTGTATGTAATAGACCTGCACGCAATGCCCGTAACACAGAATTTCAAATTGGAAAATGGAAAAACGTTGCAAACATGCCTAGCCAGCCAGGTAAACTGACAGTTGGCTAGTTGAATACCTGGACGAATGTCCAATTAGCTGCAAATGTGAGCCGTAATCGAACTGCATTACAGGAGTGGCAATGTCTATTGAGTGAGACTGATTATGTATATATATATATATATGTGTATATGTATATTCTATATACTGGAATATTATGTGTTTTTCCGTTTAAGCTTTTTTTGACTTTCTAAAGTTTTTGGCTTAATGTTTGTAATTTGTCTGCTGCTGGCATCTGAAGTGAACCCATCTTAAATCAACTGACAGCTGTGAATTTCACACTTTGTCGATGATTTTCTACCATTTACATACCCTGTAGTGACTAGCAGTGGGTATATTGAGTTTGAGCAAAGAGTAAAGTTATCTAACCTGAAGTGATTTCATCTGCAAGCAACTGACAGCTGTGAATTTCACACTTTGTCGATTGTGTCCAAATTTACAACTGATTACAGGGCATGTGGCAAGCCAGTCACTCTCATCTAGCAAAACTCTTTAATTTTTTTATCTCTTTGTGCATTGCCTTTGTCTGAAACCTGTTTGAGACTTTTTTATGCCATTCGATAAGTTAGCCTGCACCGTTGCTTAATTGATTTACGTGACAAAACTTGGCAGACAAAAGCAAAAGAAATGGATTAAGAAAACGAAATGAGATTGACTAAAAAACGCAAAGGAAAAGGTAAATTGAAAATGGAAAATAAATATCGTCTATAGAAAATATAGAATATATTCCAAGCGTTGCACGAGTCTCAGTAAAAAGTGAAAGAGCTAAACGAGGAATATCACGCATACGCCACTTGCGCAACACATTGAGCTGCAGTGCTTGGACGTCAAATAAATTACTCAATTCCCTGGGACCAGGTTGGGCAATGGTTCAGTAAATAAAGCAATAATATGACCAACGAAAATTCAACTAAAACTTGAACTTTAATTAAACTGCGCCACAGTCAACAACAACAACAGCAACCATAACTAGAAACGTAACTCAAGGCAACGTCTTCGTGACCGTAGCTCAGGTGCAAATGCGGTCACACCCTTGAAACCAAGCCACAGCAGCAGACAAATAAACAACAACAACAACAACAACCAGCCACGTATTAAAGTTATTTCAGCGACCTGAATTTTTGGGGCGTGAGCAGATATTTGTATCGAGTCGCTTTATCGCGACTGTCACATTAAAAGTCTGCGCACTAAACTATGCTACACTTCGTTCGTTATTGCTATTTCGCCTAATTAGTGCTGTGAGCGTGAGCCAAACTACATTGTGACCATATACGGCGCTGGTAAAAGCCATCAGAAAACATATTTAATGTTTATATGTGAAAGAAAAATTAATTAAAAAGTTAAAAAGTTAATTTTTATATGAAATCAAAGTATTTTATAAATGATTTTAGTTTTTTTTTACATTACTTTAGCATTTGGATAGAAATTTTTCACATATTTGTGAATAATCTTTATAATTGTATACCTGGGTTAATCATATATGGAATAAAAACTAATTTTAGATTAAATATAAACAAATTATGAACAAATTGTGCCAGTTTGAAATACTTTAAAAACTGCTGGTTGGCTTTTTCTGCTGTGCTTTAGGCTGGCCATAGATGGCAAGAATAATTATTTTTATCTATAAAGTATAAATATATTATAAACTTTGTGCTGTTATCAAATATCACTTAATTTCGCTTTTTACTCTGTTTTTTTTTCTACTTTTGCCCAACCTGAATGTGGCCTATGCTTATGCTAATAGCCATTACAGCCGCTGCTCATTTGAAGTTAACTTTTTTTTGCAGTTTTTCGGTTTAATTTTCACGTGCGCATC